GGGCCGCTTGGCCCTCGTGCCGCGCGGTCAGGATGTCGGAGAACCAGCCCAACGCCAACCACCACGCGGGCAACAACACCGGGGGCGGCGGCGGCGCCAACAACCGCGGCGTCCGCAACGCCAACCTCAACCAGAACCCGCTGATCAACGTGCGCGACCGCCTCTTCCATGCCCTGTTCTTCAAGATGGCAGTGACCTACGCACGCCTCTTCCCGCCCTCCTTCCGACGCGTCTTCGAGTTCTTCGTCCTCCTCAAGGTGAGGGGCCGCCACGCGCTTCGCGGGTCGCTTTGTGGCACCCTGCAGCCAGGTGCTGGGCCGTGGGTTTGCTCGGTGTAACACACAGCACCCCAAAGAAGTTCAGTTCTGCCTCTCTGCTAGCAGCAGAAACAGGTTTTGGATCATCCAGGCCAAGCCGTCTGCTGGGTTGACCTGTGAGCCCCTTTGGTGAGGAGGATGAGAAGAACTGTAGTGATCTCTGGAGGTCCGCAGGACCCCAGGGCTCTTGGCTGAGATCTGTGCGTAAAAAGAGACTGCAAATCGCTCCTCCAGCTGCCCGAGTTGCTCTCGAGTTGGTTAAAAGCCGCGTTGGGATATGAAAGACTTCTGATCCCATTTCAGCAGCCGCTCTTTGGGCTGTGGAGTGTGGCTCGGTCGAGATGTTTGACAGTGTCAATATTGCCAAAGTCTGCTCTTCGCTGTAACCGATGCACGCACACATATTAATGCTGTTTCTTTTTGGTAGTCAACAACCTTGGCTACGTGTGGACAGTGCTGCACCTCTGCCGAGCTGGGCAAAGACCTGCCTGCAGGTGTGGGCACTCGCAGAGGGGCCGGCTTTTCCACAGGGAATCGGAGCCGAATTCTCCACAGGGTGAATTCGGCTCCTGAACCCGAGTGCTGCTCCCAACACGCTGTCACCCCTGGCCAGCTGCTCTGGGCTTGGCTGCTGCATCTTGGCTTGCAGATCTCTGCTGGAGCTTCTCCTTGCAGCCTCATGTGGGAAATTGAGAATAAGGGGAAGAGGGAAAAGGGGCTGCTAAGTGTTGACAGTGACTTTCCATTAGGAGCTTCTAAAATCCAGCCCCTTTGAAACAAGCAGCCATCCAGGACGCCTTATCTTGCACCACTTCTTTACCAGACACAAAGTGAGAGCCTTTTTATGGCGACATAATAAACATGGCGTGACAGGGCGCTTTTGCAATGCTCTGTTTTCGTCTGAGAAATGTTCAGTTTTTTTAACAGCCCTCCCTGCACCCCCCTGTGCTGTGTAAGGGGGTTCAGGCAGACGCAGGTGGAAACAGGGCGCTTTTGCAATGCTCTGTTTTGGTCTGAGAAATGTTCAGTTTTTTAACAGCCCTCCCTGCACGTCCCTGTGCTGTGTGAGGGGGTTCAGGCAGACGCAGGCTGGAGGCAGGAGGCTGTCAGGTGGAATGTGTGGTGCTCCCCAGGCTGATTTCACTTCTTTCTGTTGTGAGTTTTGATCAAAGCAGACCTGAGGAGATGAAAGTGTTCACAGGACATCTGTGGAGAACGGCCTGGTTCTACCCCAAGAACTGCAAATCTTACCAAATTACAGCAGCACCATCTCCACGCTCTGTATCTAGTACCAAGGAAGCTGGTGGGTTTATCTATTTTTAAAGAAAACCCATTAAGGCCTAGCCATTAAAACACAAGAATTTTCAGGCCCTTGCAGAATAATGCTTTTTGCTAGGAATACTCTTCTTTGGTCTGGTCTTTGTTATGTGGGTGAAGTTTTACTCTGTCACAGACAGTTTAACACCACAGACCGTGGTGTTAAGCCTCATCCTTTGTTTATAGGCTATTTCTGGGGCAGTTTCTGTATGTGTCATCTCTTCATTTGCTGTCATTCTGCTGAGCAAGGTTGAGGTCATCAGCTCCAAGAAGCTGCTCATCAGTTTTCACCTGGGATCCAAAGCCAGCATCTCTGAGCACCTGCCTTGGAGCAGAGGGGAAAAACAGATCCATGCTTATCAGTAAACAAGACACAGTTGAACTAAAACTCCAGCATGGAAGTTCATCTTGTTGGCAGATTATCCAATGGAGCAAACGTCTGCAGCTCGGCCCGCAGGCTGCTTAGTGGTTTGGTGTCACAGCTCCTCCTTGGCACTGGCCTCTGCTGCCCAGCTGTCCTTGTCACAGCAAGCATTTTGCCAGAAGAACCTGGTACTTCCCATTCAGGAGAAGATTAAAACCTCGTTATTCCATTGCTCCCTACCACTTATAATTTCCCCTATGAAATGCTGGTGGGTCAAAGAAAGCAGCACTTTGCACGGATACGCAGGGCAATTCCATGGCATTTTGTGTGTGGTTTTGTAAGAGTTGGCACCACCCTCTTGGTTGTGGGCAGTGTGTGTGACCTGCAGCTGCTTTATGGGCCGCAGCAGCCAGGGTGAAACCCAGGGCACAGGGTGCTGGGGGGGTAGTTTTGGTCACAGGCCCTTTGGAGAAGCTCTGGATCTTTTTTTGGTGCTTGCCTGAAGAAGACAAGTTTTCAGCTGGTTAAAGAGGCATCAGAAGGGCTGACAAAGGGAAGATTGTATCACTTGCTCTGTAAAGCTGAAGAGATTACCCGATTCCAGTGTGGTTGCTTGATTGTTTAGTACGGAGACCACCAGGGTTAGAAAGCATAAAACCTCTCGTGCACTTGTAAATTTGTCCAAATTAATCCAGTGTTTTTACGGGCAAGCAAGAGATGGCTGACTAAAATTCTGGAATTTGTAGTTTCCTTGAATTCATGTTTTCTGCTGTGTTTCTCTTGTGCAGGCTCTCTTTGTGCTCTTCATCCTGGCTTACATTCACATCGCCTTCTCCCGCTCCCCCATCAACTGCTTGGAGCACGTGCGGGATAAGTGGCCACGCGACGGCATCTTGCGGGTGGAAATACAGCGCAACTCGAGCCGAGCCCCCATCTTCCTGCAGTTCTGTGATGTCGAGAAGTTTCCAGGAATGGTGGTGGAGTCCACAGCTGAGGAAGAGGAGGAGGAAGAGGAGGAAATGACTGTGGATATGTTTGAAAACAGCTCTATCAAGGTAAGGACTCTTTTTGTGGGTCGACAGAAGGAGATGGGAACCTGGGTTTGGGCTGAAATTCAGATGATCATTAGCACAGTCATCCCAGGTTTGGGGCTGCAAGGACAGGTGAGCTGACAGCCTGTTTGGTTTGTGATCCAGCAGGTTTTCACCACCACACAGCTTTTCTGCTCTTCCAGCTTGGGAAACCGCCTTAACAAACTAGTCTAAACAGCCAGAACCTGCCACAGTCCATCCCTGATCGCCCTGTCACTTAGAGGAACAGTATGTTCCGTGGCATGTCCAGACCCTCCACATCAGCCTCTTTTGCTTTAAGATAGAAATCACAGCCTGAGAAAGTGGCCTCTTCTATCCTCTGAGAGTAGAGAGGAAGGCCAGAGGACTTGAGCTGGAATGACTGCTAAAGTGACTTTCCCCACCATGGTTTTCCAACAGTTTGAGCTGGATATTGAGCCCAAGGTGTTCCTCAAACCATCCCGGATGAGCAGCACCGAGGCGCTGACCCACAACGAAAGCCAGGAGTTCTCATTTAGTGAAGCGGCCACTAAAGGTATGCAGCCTCTGAGGGAGACTGTGTCCGAGTTTGAGATGCTAGCAAGAGCAGGTAAAGACACCTTCCACGGCTCTCTGCGCCCTCTTCCCTTGCACCTGAGCATCTTCCCTGCACATCTCACTCCTCCTGGCTTCCCTGGGTCCATGCATAACAACCTTAAGTGCCTTCCGACTATCCCTGATGTTTTCACTTATGATTAATGTTACCACTACTAACAGTAGATCCATAGGAATCCCTTTCCTTGGGCTGGAAGGGAGACTGGGAGCGGGGAGTCATCTGCATCATAAAACTGGCAGAAGCCTCTTGGTCTGCTGTCATGTTTCTGCAGTGCCAGATGCTTTTGATGAATTTGAACCTTCCTTTTTGTCCTGTTGAGATCTGCAGAGATCCAACTGACAGCACACATTGCTGATTGAACAGGCCTGGGCTGTATTTTGGGCCTCCTGAATGACCGCGGTGCCTGGAATAACTATTCTGAAAGCCACTGAGCAAGTTTTAGTAGATTGCAAGATACAGTATTGCTGTTCTGCATCGCTCAGATTGTTATCCGGCTTTATCCCTCTCCTTATTTCAGCATGACTTAAGTTGCTAATGTCTCATGAACTCTAGAAGGAGCTTAAATGACTGTGTATTGTTTAAAATGCAATTCCAGTATTAGAAAAGTTCTGTGTCTAGTGGTTTTGGCGGGGGGGAGAATCTGTTAAAAGTCACATATACTAAAACAGAGACTTGGCAGCTAGATTCCTATTAAATTTTGGCATTTTCGCGCATGCTTCTATCCCTGGGAAAAATGTAGTTATTTGCTCTTCAGAAGTACAGCATGTTCTTGCTGTGGAGGATTGGGAGACTGGACATTATAATGGCCCCATTCCCTTGTTTTTGCAAGTGTTTTACTTGATGCTGATCCAGAACTCATTAGTCCTGAACTTCAGATCATTAAGTTGCTTAAGACTGGAGAGCATATAAATATTTTTGGTGCAAACCCTTCATTAACAGTTGCCGAAGTTCTGTGAGAATCACACTGTACAATGTTGTGCACAGTGATGGGCTCTGCTTTGATTTGCTGAATGCCCAAGTGGAATCCAGAAAGATGGTGGGAGAGAAGAATTGTTCTGCTTCCCAATGTAGTTATCAAATTCATTTTTTCAAAGGGGTTTTTTATTTTCCCCCCCCCCCCAAAAAAAAAACCTTCATTTTCTCTTATTTTTTCCAACTTTCTTGTGTTGCAAGTGCATGCAATTGAGTATTTAGACAAAACACATCACCACTGAAAAACATTTTGTGCTATGAAGAAAGCAATTCTTTTATTCACACTCAAACATTGCATTGCCCTCTAAGCTTAAAACTGTTTTCTGCTGAAGAAGGAGACAGAGCCCATCTTCCTGACTGACTCTGTCCTCAAGAACTTGGTGGAAGGAGGTGGCGGGGAGCCTGGAGGAGCAGTTTCTTTGCAGTCGCTCTGGGGAACGCTGCGGTTGACTGTGGCTGCCCTCTCTTGCAGTGTGGCCGCAGGAGGAGTACATCGTGGAGTACTCCTTGGAGTACGGCTTCCTGCGGCTGTCCCAGAGCACCCGGCAGCGACTCAGCATCCCCGTCATGGTGGTGACTTTGGGTGAGTGAGGCACCGGCGTGCCCTGCTGGCTGCGTGTCCCTCGGAGCCACCCACGGTGCTGCCGGAACCACGGGAGGGTCGAGGTTGGAAGGGACCTCTGGAGATCCCCTAGTCCGACCCTCTGCTCCAGCAGGGACACCCAGAGCAGGAGCACAGGGTCCATCCAGGTGGGTTTGGAGGTCTCCAGGAGCCTCCACAGCCTCTGGGCAGCCTGTGCCAGGGCTCTGTCCCCCTCACAGGAAAGTTCTTCCTGCCACCTCGTCCCCTCCTGCCACACAGAGCACTAGGCAGACTTGCTTAGCGTTGTCCCCACGTGCTCCTGGCCCTCGGTGACAGCAGCAGACCCTTGTTCTGGGGCAGCAGCCTCCCCTCCCGGTGTTCGGTCTGGGAAAACCTGTGCTAATCAGAAATGCAGTCTCAGGCCTTCTTGTGCCTGCAACCTTAATTGATCTGTAATGAGTCATTAGTGCAGCAGTTGAACTCAATTGTATTAGCCCAATAAAACTGAAGGACAGTTGGGCTGCATTATTAAGCAGTGACCTCATGTAGGTAATGAGTATTTTCTTTATTAAATGTCTATTTACTGATTTGGGCTTTCAAATCCAGCCAGGCAAATTCCTTCATCAGAATCCTAGTGCTGTATTAAAAAATTACTCCTGTTTATGCTCCATGATTAATATAGGTTTGGGGTATTTTTGCAAGCTAGCTAGTGCTTGTACAGCAAAATACATTTGTGTGTGCTGTACCAACGTCCTGGATGGAACCCAACAGCCTCCACTGGGTGCCAGAGCCATGGGAGGAGTTCACATGTCCCCTCCTGCAAGAGGGCACATGAGGACACGCAGGCCCCAGCGGTGGCATGAGGAGGTCACCTGGGACCTGAAATATCAGCCTGGCCCTCCTGGATTTTACCAGGATTCATTTTTCCAGGCCTTTAGTTGGAATGAGCCCGCAATTGCTAGGAAGATCATCCAAGTCATCGGTGTCAAATTCCTTTTGTGTCGATGTGAAGAGAGGTTATAACAGCTCTGATGTAAGAGCAGGGACCTGATTGACATTGGCATTTTGTCAGCCTGGCTATATTTGTCAGGGTGTGACATTTTCCCTCCCAGTCCTGCCCAATTTAGTTATATTGGCAGAGGTCCGAGTGCAGGCGCAGGTCTGCTGGCAGACAGGTCCTTTGAAGAGATGGGAGGCCTGGGCACTTGCCTTTCCTTCTCTGTGGCTTAAGATCTGAACAGGCTGAATGTTTTCTGTTTTTCACCTAGATCCCACTAGAGACCAGTGCTTTGGGGACAGATTCAGTCGCCTATTGCTGGATGAGTTCCTGGGTTATGACGACATCCTGATGTCTAGTGTCAAAGCTTTAGCTGAAAATGAGGAAAACAAAGGTAGGACTTGGGGGAATGGCCTTCAGCAGCTGTGCGGGAGGTGATGTTTTTCATGGATGCATGAATATCATCTTCCAATGATTAATCTCTAATGCAGGGAACAGTTCCCTGTGTTATGGAGAGATGTTATTGCCAAGGACAAAGTAAAACAGGCAGGAGTAGAGAGGAAATGTCTGCAAACATGATTTTCTACTGCCTCATTGTACTGCATAACAATAAGAGCCATGAGGAGGTGATGCGACGCATCTCCCTCTGTAAACACTTTGTGTTTTTTTTGGTTCTTTTTAAACCAAATTTGAAGTTTAATCTTTGCTTGTAGGCTAATGGCATTGGGCTTTGTTTTTTCCAGGTTTCCTTCGTAATGTAGTATCCGGGGAACACTATCGCTTTGTCAGCATGTGGATGGCCAGGACTTCATACCTTGCAGCCTTCGTCATCATGGTCATATTTGTAAGTGGGGAGGAGCTGAGTGTTGTCCAATTTTGCACCCAGTGCTGGTCAGCTTCAGGGCCACTCTGTGTGTTTGTGCAACAGGACAGTCCTGTGCCCACCGAAGCAATCACATCTGCTTTTAAAGTCCATCTCACAGAGTATGCACAGTTGTGCTTTGGAGATTTGCCTACGGATACTTAAATCTAAAAATGAAACAAACAGAGGAGCTGAAATGGAATGAAATAATCTGTTTGCAGTCAAGGGTGGTTCAGGCTAGAGTCTTAGGATAGTTAAGTACTCAGGCTGCCAAGGGATGGGGTGCAAAACCTTGCCCACGTTTTTAACAGGTTTAACTAATGTGCCAGGGTTGACTGGGTTAGAACTGAATCTCCTGTGATTCGTTGTCTGACCAGATGCTTGCAGGTAAGTATTGGAGGAGAGATCTCCATAAGGACTGAGCCTGTGCTCATAGCCTTAGAGCTGTCTCTGTGTCTGACCTCCTCTATGCAGCTCCCTGTGCTGTAATGTTGCAGCATATAAGAGCAAAAATGGAAACGAGTGCAGGGTGACCACTGCCAGGCAGCGTGAGCTGCCAGGGCCAGCACAGATGTAGGGCTAGAAGCCCTAGTTCCAGCTCTGACGCTGCTGTTTGGCCATTGCTCCATTATTCAGCACAAGTCTCTTTACAGCCCAATTACGTACTGTCTATTTCACTGCAGTAGGATAAAGATTAATTGCTGTTTGTGAAGCCTTAATTACTCTGTGGGAGGTCCTTGTGCATAGCTCAGGCTCAGGAATGTGAGATATGCACAGCACGGCGTGTAAGGCCGAGCTTCTCTGCTGTAGTGCAGTTTGGAAGGTGAATCCGTGGCCCTGCTCTGACACTGGCTTCTCTTCTCTTTCTGCAGACCCTGTCCGTTTCGATGCTGCTGCGTTACTCTCACCATCAGATCTTTGTCTTCATTGGTAAGGGTTTTCCGGGGCGTCCAGGGTGTATTAGACACTGGGCCTGCTCTAGTGCAGTGGGGCTCGTGTATTCTCTTGACTGCTGTTGTTCAGGAGGGTTCCTGCCTGCAGCTGCCTGGGAAACGTGTCCTGCCACCCTGTGCTTGCAGGAGCAGTTCTGACTTTGCCAGTGTCTGGGGTGATGGGCAAGACAGGGGTGTTCACAGCGTGTCGTGGGGCTCTGAACAGGGAATGATGTGGGGTGGAGAGTTCTCTGCTCCCACGTTCACCTGGTATCACTGTGTGTTTCCTTCTGGCAGTTGATCTGCTGCAGATGCTGGAAATGAACATGACAATTGCATTCCCTGCAGCTCCCCTACTCACTGTCATCCTGGCTTTAGTAGGTAAGAACATTAGCTCTTTTCTTACATAGAGGAAGATGGGCAGCAAGTCACTTTAGGGTCTTAGAAAGTTTAATTCCTTTTTCTGACCTGAATAGAGCAGATGGTTACTGTGTCTGCTTCTCACAAGGTGGAAGGTTCTGGAATTTGAGGGCAGACAATAACCTGCATTATCTTTCCAAGGCTTCTGGAAAATCAATTCATTTGGAAATCACATAAACTGAGTCTTTGCCTTTCACTTTAGCTCATTTCAGATTCATGCTCCCTGTGATAGCACAATTTTAATTAAAGACAAACAAAAACCCGAATCTCTGTCTAGAGCCAGCAGATGCTCTGGTCCATGTAGTGATTGCGGTGAGCAATGAAACTTGTTTGACCTTGTCTGCTGCTTTAAGCAAAAACATGCATTTGCTGTATAATTGCAGTTGTAGAAATTGTCCAGTTCTAGGAATCACAGAGAACTTGTCCAGATGCCCCTTTGGGGAGGCTCTTCCCTGGAGCTGTTGTGTCCCGTGCAGGGAGCTGAGGGCAGATTCCTCTCTCCCTGCAGGAATGGAGGCCATTATGTCAGAGTTCTTCAATGACACCACGACTGCGTTTTACATCATCCTCATTGTGTGGCTGGCTGACCAGTATGATGCCATCTGCTGCCACACCAATACGAGTAAGAGACACTGGCTCAGGTAAGCGCTGGCAACATCTGTGTTTTGCTCACAGCTTTATTTCATAGTGGGAAG